CCTCCTCCTCCTCCCTCCTCCTCCTCCTCCTCCTCCTCCTCCTCCTCCACCTCCACCTCCTCCTTCCGTCACTCAACCTTAATTACCATGCGCGTTGGCAGAGGCCTCCAAGATAGGGGTCCGAGTAAATGGGGTCGGGGGATTCCACCGCATCGCCGACGTATCGCCGATGCATCGGCGGCGCATCGACGACGTCTGAGATGCATCGGCGACGTCGGCGTGGAGCAAGTCGGGCTCCACATCGCGCCGCATCGCCGATGCATCGGCGATGCGGCGCGATCCTCCGACACCATCTACTCGGACCCCGTCTGGGATGCCTGGATCAACTTGCTCTCTGATATCCCCCCAGGTACGCTCGCTGTCGGCGAGGCGCAGCCGCTGGAGAGCATCCCGAGGCTGGAGAACCTCAGGGAAACGACGAAAACGCCCAACAGCCTCGAGCATCGAGCCCATCGTTGCCCAGCCTCGACCTGAGCCTGAGTCTATCCGCCGAGATGCGGAGCGATCCCTCGACACCATCAACTCCGACCCCATCTGGGAGGCCTGGATCAATTTGCCCTCCTCTGATAATTACGGCAAGTTCGCGTCGTGTCGACCCCGGCGCTGGTTCCTGACACCGAGGGGATTTTCAAACTTGAACGATCGGACGTTCCGTGAACGCCGGATCGACTGCCGATCCTGCCGAAGGGCTCCTGACACGGGCAACTTCTCAGATGGCCAGAGGGCTTCTGAGAAGCCTCGCCGCGGCCCAATCTGGGAGTAGCGGGCCGAATAACCACCCTCATGATAGGCACCCCGGCAAGCGAAGCCCTTTGGCAAACGCACCTCGGAAAAGGATCGAACAGGGCAGGGCTGAGTCGGAAACTCCAGGGGCTGTTGAGCAAACGCCAGTGATGGGGTTCGGGGTGGATTTTCCTCCCTTGCGAGACCTGTGGAAATATCCACCCCCAACGATGCTTTCAATCCTGCCGAAGGGCTTCCGACACGGAAATCTTCTCAGATGGCCGGAGGGCTTCTGAGAAGCCCCGCCGCGACCCCATCTTGGAGGCCTGGAGGTTTCCCACACCGAGGGCGGAGAACGAACCTCGAGACCATCGTTTCCCATCGCTGCCCCCCCTTCCTCCTCCGAAGGGCAGAGGGAGGAGGGAGGAGAAGGAGGAGAGCTCTCGGCTGGTGCAGCTGCCGTGCCCTGGGGTCCCCGTGGTGTTCGCTAAAGCCCTCCCCACTCACCAGCTGTGGGTCAGTGGGCCACTCACTTGGTGCCGCCTGTGGAGCGTACGCCCAGCAGCAGGTCTAGGATCTTGCAAGGAAGTGCGCCACACGGGCGGTTGGAGATTGGAAGACTCGAGCTCTGCGACTTCTCAAGAAGGGCAAGAAGCCGTCCGCGCCGAAGGCGGCGGCGGTCGTACCCGTTTTGCTCAGGAGGTAAATTCCCCAAACAGAGCTTGCCTCTGGAGGTGTCCTAGCGGATTCATATGGTTAGGTTCGGTTTGCCGCCGATTTTCGCCGCACGCCTGGGTGCCCGGGGGTGCCCGGGTGCCCAGGTGCCCGGGGGTGCCCGGGTGCCCGGGTGCCCGGTGGTGCCCGGAGGTGCCCAGGGGTGCCCGGAGGTGCCCCGGGGTGCCGGGGTGCCCCGGGGTGCCCGGGTGCTCTATCGCCCTATAGCCCTATAGCTCTACAGCCCTATGTATATCCCTATAGACCTATAGGCCTATAGACCTATAGCCCTATAGCCCTATAGCCCTATAGCCCTATAGCCCTAATAGCCCTATAGCCCTATAGCCCTATAGTCCTTATGCCCTATAGCCCAATCGCCCTATAGCCCAATATAGCCCTTATGGGCCTATAGCCCTAGAGCCTTATTGCCTTGTAGCCCTATAGCCCTATGTTCCTATAGCCCTATAGCCCTATAGTCCCATAGCCCTATGGTCCTATAACCGTATAGCCCCATAATCCTACAGCCCTAAAAATATGATGACTGTTTTTTTCTCCGGTATCGTCTTATCTTGTTGTGCAGGCATCTCGTAGCACGGGATGGTTCGAAGTGGAGCGCAGAGCGCAGAGGAGGAGGAGGAGGAGGAGGAGGAGGAGGAGGAGGAGGAGGAGGGAGAGGAGGAGAGGAGGAGGAGGAGGAGGAGGAGGAGGAAGAGGAAGAGGCGGAGGCGAGGAGAAGGAGGAAGCGGAGGAGGAGGAGGAGGAAGAGGAGGAGAAAGGAGGAGGAGGAGGAGGGGGCGGAGGCGGAGGATGAGGAGGAGGAGAACGATGAGGAGGAGGAGGAGGAGGAGGAGGAGCAGGAGGAGGAGGAGGAGGACCAGAGTAAACCCAAGACCCATCAACGATGTTGGAATAAACCCTCCCTCCAAGCTCCCTGCAACGGTTCATTTCCACTGGGGGAACTGCTTCGTTGGAAGACAACCGTTTGAGGAGCCTGAAACATGCCAAAACATTCGTCTTGGGACTCCAACGCCACGGATCAACCTGACTGTTGCGTCTTGACGATCCAGAATCGCTCCAGAATGCCATTCCTGGGACTTCAACACCGCGAGTCAACACAACTGCTGCGCCATCATAATCCTGAATCTTTCCAGCATACAATTTCTGGTACGTTGATCATGGGAACCTGTGAAACGATTGCAGTTGTTGAAAAGGATTGTGCGCGGCGCTAAAAGGTCAACCGCGTTTTGAAAAGAAGCCGCTCTGAATCCGTGAAACCCTTGCAAATGTATACGACGAATGTGCGCGGCGCTGCGGCGACAACCACATTTTGAAAACGATTCGCCCTCAATCCGTGCAACTCTTGTAACTGTTTAAGACGAGTGAACGCGGCGCTAAGGCGAGAGCCACATGTTGAAAAACAGCCCGCCCTCAACCAGTGAAGCTCTTGCAATGTTTTAAAAAGGAGTGTGCGCGGCGCTATAGCGAGAGCCACATCTGAAAACCACCCGCCCTCCATCTGTGAAGCTGTTGTCAGCTGTTACGCTTCAGGGTCACACATGGTGAAGAGGTCTCAGGCGAAACGCCCAACCCGCCATAAAAACTAGCCTCTGGATGCGACAGAGAGAACCCAGTGATAAGAAAAGTGAATGGAGAAGGAGGAGGAGGAGGAGGAGGAGGAGGAGGACCAGTGTAAACCCAAGAGTCACCAACGATGCTGGCACAAACCCTCCCCCCAAGTTCCCTCTTCATATGCCCCTACAACGGTTCACTTCCACAGAAAGACCTTCCTCGTTGGAAGACAACCGTTTGAAAACGCTGACGCATGCCAAAACATTATTCCCGGTATTTCAACGCCGCAGGTGAACCTGACTGTTGCGTGTTGACGATCCGGAATCGTGCCAAAATGCCATTCCTGGGACCTTAACTCAACGAATGATCGTAACTGTTGCGCCCTCAAAGCGGTGCACCTTTCTAAAACACCATTTCTGGTACGTCGCTCATGGGAATCTGTGATACTCTTGCAATTTTGTATCAAGAATGCGCGCGCCGCCAAAGCGAGAACCACATTTTGAAAAAGAGCCGCCTTCAATCCGTGAAATTCTTGCAAATGTATAGAAGGAATGTGCGCGGCGCTGCGGCGACAACCACATTTTGAAAACGATTCGCCCTCAATCCGTGAAACTCTTACACATGTTTAAAACGAGTGTGCGCGGAGCTAAAGCGAGAGCCACATGTTGAAAAACAGCCCGCCCTCAATCCGTGAAGCTCTTGCAGTGTTTTAAAACGAATGTGCGCGGCGCTAAAGAGAGAGCCACATGTTGAAAAGGAACCGCCCTCATTTCGTGAAGCCCTTGCAAAATATTAAATCGAATGCGCGCGGCACTAGAGCGAGAACCGCAGTTTGAAAACGACCCGCCCTCGATCCGTGAAGAGCTTGCAAAGTTAAAAAACGAATGTGCGCGGCGCTCACGCGAGAGCCACATTTGAAAACGGCCCGCCCTCCATCTGTGAAGCTGTCGTCAATGTTTAAGCCGCAGGGACATAAATGGTGAGGAAGTCTCAGGCGACACGCCCGGACCGCCTTAAAAAATTGCCTCGGGGTGCGACAGGGAAGAGTTATGTATACAGGGGAGGAATGGAAGAGGAGGAGGAGGAGGAGGAGGAGCAGGAGGAGGCGAAGGACGGGAGGGAGGGACGGAGGGAGGAAGGGAGAGAGGGAGGGTGGAGGAGGAGGAGGAGGAGGAGGAGGAGGAGGAGGAAGAGGGAGGAGAAGGAGGACCAATGTAAACCCAAGACTCATCAACGATGTTCGAATAAACCCTCCCTCCAATCTCCCGGTTCTACAAGGCCCTACAAGGGTTCATTTCCACGGTGGGAACTGCCACGTTGGGAGACAACCGTTTGAAGACCCTGGCGCGTGATAAAATACAATTCTCGGGACCCCAACGCCACGGATCAACCTGACTGTTGCGTCTTGACGATCTCGAATCGTGCCAAAACACCGTTCCTGAGACTTCAGCACCGCGAACCAACGTAACTGTTGCACCCTCACAGCCCTGAATCCTTCCAAGAAGCAATTTCTGGTACACTGACCATGGGAATCCGGGAACATTTTTCACTCGCTGATAACGAAGGCGCGCGGGGTTAAGGCGAAAACCAAATTTTGAAACCGACCCGCTCTCAATCCGTGAAATTCATGCAACTGTTGAAAACCAATGCGCGCGGCGTTGAGGCGGTAATCACATTTTGAAAACGACCCGCCCTCAATCCGCAAAGCTGGTGCAATTCTTCGTGCAATTCGTTCAAAAAGAATGTGCGAGCGCCCTCGATCCGTGAAACTCTTGCAAGTTCATGCAAAAGGAGGATGAGGAGGAGGAGGAGGAGGAGGCGGAGGAGGAGGAGGAGAAGGGAGGAGGAGGGAGGAGGCCTGGGAGAAATGCCCCCCCACGCTGCTTCCGATCCTGCCACGCGCCCGGCAGCCCGCCACGCCCGCCGCGGCCGCCGCGCGGGCGCTGCCTGCGCGCCGCCGGGGGCGGCGTCCGCGACCTCGGCGGCGGAGCGGCGCCAGCGCGGGCCAGGCCACGCGAGGGGAAGGCGTTGAAGCGCTGGGCGGGGCCTTGTGCGGGAAAGGTGGGCCTGTCGCAGGGGAGCAAAACAGATCGGGGTCGCTGCCGTCATCGCGCCCGCCGCCGCCGCTGCCGCCGCCGCCGTCGCCGTCGCCGTCGATCGCCGTCGCCATCGCCGTCGTCGTCGCCGTCGCCGTTGTCGTCGTCGTCGCCGTCGCCGCCCTGTTGCGGTCCAGCGGGGAGGGAAGCCCGAGGGTGGGCGCTCGCCCACGTACAAGACTCGGGGCTGTCATGATTTGTTCAATCCCAGCGTCTGTCCTCAATGTCGGCCTCCATGGTCCGTTAGCGGGCCCCGGGGCAGTCAGACAATGACCTGTGGGGCGCCCCAGGGCCGCGGACGGAAGATAACAAATCGCAGGGTGCCTGGGAAGGGCGGTCGGTGGCGATTCAGCTTACCCAGCTGTTTTTCCCAGTATCTCCTGGCGCCCGAAGCGCCCAGCGGCGCGGACGAGACCAGCTGTCGGAAACAGATTTCGTCCCCCCCGTTTCCCTATCTTAGGGCGGCGGGGCATTCATTTATCATGTATTTACCTATTCCGCATTTTTTTGTTTTTTCTTTCTCTCTCTCTCTCTCTTTCTCTCTCTCTCACTCTATATATATATATTGCACTGAATGGGTCCTAGCGGAGATTGAACGAATTGGCGAAATAACAGCCGATGTCGGTGGGCGGCCGGGTTCCCGGGTTCCCGGTTTCCTGGTTCGCGGGTTCCCAATTGATCTTTCCGGACCGATTTCGGTGGGCGGTGGGGTGCCCGGGTTTCCGGGTGCCCGGGTTTCCGGGTTCCCGGGCTCTTGGTCGATCTCCTTGTCGATCGGTCTCACCATCGATCTCACTACCCACCCCTCTATTAATTTTACAATCGATCCCACTATAGATCGCAAGAGCGATCCCACGATCGATCTCACGATCGGTCTCACTGAATCGACTTCATCGTCCTTACTATCGACCCCACTATCGGTCTCACAATCGATCTCACAATCGATCTCAGTATTCACGAATTTTCAAACCATCCACTGATTGGGCGTTTCTCTGGTGTAATATAAACAACGTGTGCATAGAGATAGAACCACGCCTGCTTCGCGCGCGCTTAGGTTCTAGCCGCGCCCGAGGAACCAAGTTGCCAATGAGGCCTGCAGGTGCGACTCTGGAGATCCTTCGGGGGATGGTTGAAAGACCTGCGGCAATTGAATTTTTTGGTTCTGGCGACGTGTCGGGGAGTCCTCGGGCTTATTCGATGCTTCTTGCGCTTTCTTGGATCCACCCGAGGACCTGAGGAGGAGGAGGAGCTTAGCAACGAAGAACTGTGCCCGAGTCTGGCTCCAATGTGCACGCCACCCGCCACCAAGGCCACGCCACAGAATATCGAATGCCCCCCCCTTCCCTTCCTGGCCACGCATCTGGGGCCAAGCCAAGGCGCAACGAAATCAAGAAAACCTATCTGGGTCGCACCGGCAAGGCCTCCAATTCGATGGCTCTGGCTTCTCGGGGAGCGTTATTGAAGAGCTTCCGCGCCCTCATGGCTCGTCTTGAGGCCTCTTGGACGCCTGCTGGAACTGCGGTTTGGGGGGCCGTTGGCGTCTGTTTTTGGAGCCGTCTTGGGAGCCGCCTGGGCTATCTTGGAGGCCTTGGGACCGTCTTGGGGGCCTCTTGGGCTGTCTTGGAGCGCTCTTGGGGCCGCGCTGGGGCCATGTTGGGCCCATCTTGGGCCATCTTGGGGTCCTCTTGGATATCTTGGACCATGCTGTGTTCCTTCGAGTGCCCTCTCAGGACATCTGGAGCCGCTTTGGTGGCCTTCGTTTGGCCCCTTTGAATTGTCTTAGGCCCCTCTCGGGCCCTGTAAGGACTCTTTTGGGCCGTCCAGGGGCGAGCTCCGAGGTCGTTGGGGCCGCCTTGGGCGCACGGCTCTCGAAACCCGCTCGATTTCCTCCCTTTGAATCCCCGTGGAATCCCCGTTAGGGGCGGTCTTGGAAGCTTCTTTTGAGGGATGAAAAAACTACCGTACCCTGGGTTACAAGTGCGTGGTCTGTAAACCTCCTGGGCACCCCCAAAGCCTAGAGGACGCCAGGACGCCGCACATCACGCAGGGTTTACCCTGTCAGCCCATAGGAGTTTCAGCGCACAGCGCCTCGTAAACCAGGGTAGGGGCGTTTTTTAAGCCCTTGATTCTTGGGTCGTTCTGGGGGCAGCGTCGGCCGTCACGCGGCCCTGGTGGGCCTTCTCGACGCACTCTTGGAGCGGGGCCCTTCTCCGGCGATCGTGGCATGCCCTCGCGCCGTCCAGGGAAGCCGGAAGTCCAGAACTGCGAGCCTGCTGAAATACAGTCGAGGCGTTGACCTAAGGAACCCTAAATAAGGAACGAGGCCCCTATTTTCCATAAGTTGAACTTCGATTTCCGATCGAAAACATGAGGGAAACCTGAGGCAAGCTGTGAAACACGTAAGGAACGCGGAGCCCCTCCCCAACGAAAAGGGCTCCTTCTTCAGAGCCCCGACTGTACTTCTCCTTTCCGAGGTCCTGCAAGAAGGTTCCCAGCAGGGACTCACCAGTCCGAGGTCTGGCGGGATCTGCAGTGCCACAGGACCTCTCGACCGGCGTCCCTGGCCAGAGCGCGAATCGGGCAAAACCGCCCAAGCGCGAGTCGCAATGCACAGCTCGGGCTGCTGCCGCCTGGCGATCCTACAATGACAGCTCCTTTTCGGGGTCCTGCAAGGAGGTTTCCAGCAAGGACTCGCAAATCGGAGGACAATGTAACTTTATGGTGGAAGAAAACACTAACATTGAAGACGAAAGAATGCACCAACCGACAAAATGCAACAGAAAGCAAAATGCACCAGCCGGCAGAATGAAGCAGAGAGGAAAGGGTGGGAGGAGGGAGGCAACCCGAGAGTTCAAACGGTGGCCTAGCATTAAATCTCACCACAGCATTAATCACTTGGGGCCTTGGTGGTCACCAGCTGTCTTCTTCGGATCTGTCGTCAATCCAGCTCGATCCCCGGATCCGAATCCAAAGTATGATGCGTTTCAAAAGGGGGTGCCCCCAGCTCCCGTCTTTGGACCTGGCCTCGATCCGGCTCGATCCACGGGAGGCTGGATCCGAAGATGATGCGTCCCAGGTCCAGGCGACGGTGCGCCCAAGACAGTCCCAGGTGCGTCCTGGGCGTGCCCGCTGGACAATTGTGCGTCCAAGGGACAAACCATGTAAACCATGGTTGCCAGCGAGACGTCTCGGATCAGGCCAGGAGCATTGTGGAGCTCCCGTGGGGGCCTAGTCGAGATGCTCCCGTGGAGAATTTGAACAAAAGGGGCAGACCTACGCCGTCTTCTTATGGCCGCACATTAGCAAGGCGACCCTAATTAAAACACAAATGAGTGACAAAAACAAACGGATATCACGTGAGAAGGCATTGCAACCCCACGCCACGGCTTACGTGGGCCGCCAGCGCGGCACGTTACATTGGCCAGATTTGGGCTTTCTCGGGGGGGCCCTGAAAAAGGAGCCCCCCTCCTTGATCGATCTCCCCCATGATGGCCCCTGAGGCTCCGAAGGGTGCCCCAAGACGGCCCTGCCCAGGAGGCCCCAATAGGCCACCACGATGCGCCCAAGATACGCTTGGGCCCTCTTGGGGGCCTCAAGGGACGAAGAGCTGGATATGTCGGTTCGTGTTCCCCCTCCGGTGTCTCCCTGGAGGAGTTATTGGGGCCCTCTTGGGCTGCCTTGGAGGCCTCCTGGGCCGTCTCAGCGCCCTCTTCAAGGCCTCTGATGCTGTGTTGGGGCGATATTTGGGGCTTCCAGGACCGCCTCGGAGCGTCCGGAAACCGAAGAGGCAGAAACGCGAAAATCCATCAACAGCCTTAATGATTTGTGCCACTTGGGGCCCTTTTGGGAATGCTCTTGGAGACACCTTGGGCCGTGTTGGGAGCCTTCTGGGCTTTCTGGAGGCCATCTTGGGCATGTTCGTTTTTTGTCCCATGGAACACAGCCCCACCATGTGTTATCACGCCTCAGCCAGCACAGCGAAAGGATTCGCACTGCCACTGCAAAGTGCCCCTATACACGACAGCGCTGAGCAGCCTGGTGCCCGCGGTTCCTCATGAAGCGCGCCACCGAGGATGTGTGCAACAGAAGCGAGGAGAAAAGCGGAGGAGGGCGCGGGCTGGGAAAAAAACACCCCGTCATTGTGGGCGGGAGCCCCATTGCCCAACCGGCCATTTATATAACCCACACAACGGCAGCGGGGAGGGGGAGGAGGAGGAAGAGCGAAGAGAGGAGCGGAGCAGAGATAACAAACAAACATAAAGGGTATTATGTAGCCGTGCACTCGCGCGTGCGCAGACCAGTCAGTCCCTTTGGACGGCACCCGCACAATTGGCCCTCGCGAGCAGATGCGTACACCAACATGGAAGCCAGCGGGAGAGCGAGAGGACGCGGAAGAGAACGAGGAGGGAAGAGCGGAGGGAGCGGAATGGACGCCAACTCACAGCGCGAGGCTCCAATGGCAGGCCAATCACAAAAACTCGAGCACAGAGGAGGGCAGTGCAGAATAGCAAGATAGACTAGACGTGACGAATGCATCGCACAAGCGTAAGGCCGACGGACGAGGCCACGCGAAACGGCCACTCCTACAGGTAGGCGGTCGCATGGGCAGCTGTCGCCCGGGCAGGCATGCCGGCGCGCAGCCTAGCCCAAGTGCGCACGAGAGGGCACGAGGGCCAGGAAAAGCGCGGTGCAGCGCCAAGCCAAAAGAATATATATAAAAAACGGGATCCATGGAGGGCCCAGAAGGGAGCGGGGAGCAGGGAGCGGAGCAACGAACTCATGCAAAGAGCGCGATCCACCAGACAAGCAAGCTAGAGAAGAGACAGGAAGAAACAGAGACGCCGAGAAGGGACGACAGGAGCAACGAGGCTCTCAGAACTCGTCGAACATGGCACCTGTTGGACGATGCTGGCGTCGGTGCTGGCATTGGCGCTGGTGTAGGCGCTGACGTTCTGGCTGGTGCAGGCGCCG